ATGGAATACGACTCATTCGTTTTATTTTTCATCGCAGCATGCAGAAACGGTACCCATTCATATCACAGAGAGGAGGAATAAAACAGGAAGAATAAGAATATGAAGAAGAAGAGGAAGCAGATGTAATAGACTTTCCAGTATTTAGTTTTGGACGAGCCTCACACAGATGTTGACGGCGTTTCAAGAAACTTTTGGCCATTTTTTTTTCAATCGCGTAGAAGTGCTTCGATCAACAATGGTATTTAAAATGGAGTTTGAGAATTGGGAACTTAAATACAACTGCGACTGTAGAAAACATGAAGGAAGGAGCAGAGTGTGGAGGATTACCTAGATGACATCAGGGAAAAAGTATACACTGAACAAATGATGGAAAAAAATGCAGTAGTCTCATGGATTAGTTGGACCAATTGAAACGGCAATCAATACTAATGCGACAGACAACAGCGACAGTGCCTTCAGGCCGTCATTACTGCTTACCCGTTAGGCATTTCAGTGGGCTGAGCGCCGTATTCGTATACTGTATTTTTTCCGTTCACTTGCAATTTTTTCACAACTTTTCCACATTCAAACCCCCATAACTTCTGAAAGTGGTTACTATTTCTATATTCAAAACCGAGTTATTTGGTAGAGCTTTTTAATCTACACAAAATGAGCCTATTCACTTTGCTCAACTCTTGTTCCTTCATCCTGAAATTTGGTACTACATAAATGTGTCTTTCATTTTTGCCCAATATTTTCTACTTTGAGACCGCTCAAGTTTTTTTATATTGGACATATCTTAGTATATGATAGTCCATGTGACAGAGAATTTTATTTTCTACAAAACGGTTACAATTTCTTCAATCAATCCGCAATGAATCACCCCTCAAAACGGTCCTTTTCTGATATACCATCGGTATAAATTTTGCTCATTCAAGCGCTCAATCACACATGACCTATGTTTGCGCGTGCTCCTCGCTGACTCCGCCCGTGCGCTCGGACACGTTTTTATGGCGAAGTGCGACGACGCGGTGCGTACATTGAGGAATTTATCGATTGTTGCATAATCGTTGTGTCACATTCAGTTCTGGTTCTAACGTGATCCAGTCTTCCTGACCAGTCACAGTTTTACGATTGCGTGCTTGAGCTTTTTGTAGGTGGTCAAGACGTGCACTTATTAGGCAAAGTTTGGAAGTTATTTTCATTTTCAAAAATAGTGATGTACTCAATTTGTGGGAAATATCATGTAGTATGAACATTTTGATTCTTATTTTGCCAGTTTCAAGCATCCCACTCCACATAACAGTTCCGCATTTCACAATAAACCGTTCAACTTCGAACAGAATATACCTGAAGGCTTTATTCAAACCCGTTGCATCGTTTACTATCCGTTCGCAAGCTTGAAATGGTGTGGGTTGTTGGGCTTTCATCGAGTGATCGGTTTTATTCAGTACGATGCCAGCTTCGATCTGTGTATTATGCCAATCTGACTCATTAACGTGACGTAAACGACTTCACATGATGTTAGATGCCCAGCTATACGCAAATGGTTTTGAATCACCATGAACTGGCCACTGAATTGACTTAGTCAAGCTGAATCATTTTCAGTGGTCATTGAATCAGAAGAAAAGAATCGCATTCTGGTTACTTATCGATCATGTCACCAAGAAAGCGATCCCGTTCGAACAGTTCAAGTTCTAGCTCGAGATCTAGGTTAGGAACAAGCTGTCATAGGAGNAAGTACTTGGAATATTTAGTAAACACCACATTAAAACCCGGTGAACATCGAAGAAACTTGTGAAATTTAAGTTCGAAATCAAAAAGTCGCAGTCGTTCACGATCACGTAGTAGAAGTAAAACCTATTCCCCCGATCGCAATGAGGAAGGACGTCTTCACGTCACAAACATCGATGAAACGGTTCGTGCAAAGGATCTTGAAGAGGCATTCGGGTATAATTTTCATTAATAATTAACATTCTCTCTTTATTTTCATTATTCACTCATATCCAGCAGCATGTTTGTTTCATTGCAGCTACACGATTTTTAATTATTACGTAATTTCATTTACCTTGGCAGAAATGACCGGAGACTCAGGCTGAATTTTGATTTTAATGGATATCACGAAATGCTTTTGGAAGCACTGAGCCAAATGAAGAAAATTTTTCGTTGAAAAATATTCGATGAGCAGTGTCCGTCAGAAATACAAATGTTTTGTGCAGTAATGCGTATATGCGTATGTTTTGTGTAGTAATGCAAAACATGGTTTAGGTGTCAATAGGTTGAACAGTTAATAGGTGCATCGATTGTCTTGTGGCTGTTGATATAATGGATGACACTTCAGGCGTTTCGGTAAAATAATAGATATCTGGGTTGCCAGTTATCCACCGTTGTTCGCATTCGTTGTGTTCAAATCTAGATCCGAAGCAGATCAGGCTCTAGCTGCTATCAATAATACGTAACTTTTGATTACATATTTCCATTTTCAACAGTTATTCATTCCTTCATCAAAAATTCACTAATTAATGTGACGGATTGATTTTGAGTAACTAATTGTTATTCATGTACTGAAAAATTCATTGCATAATCGAAACCCGAACAAAATGTGTATAATAAACGAAGCACAACAGAATAGAACTAATGAGACACATCGTTTTCATAT